ATGCTCGACTGTAGTTGATTGATTCTTACATTCTGATCCAGATTAAACCCACGGTGGAAACTAGGCCAATGTAATATGAATCCGTGCTACAAGCTACCGCAGAATCTTAGGGCTGCCACATACAAAATTCCGCAACAGTGACCGTAAGATGTAAACTTAAGCCGATGAGTCAATCAGAATATTGCTTTAGGTCTACATAATCTAACGGAAATGGAAATAGCAGTAAACTTATCTATAACCTTATAATAAGATGAATTTCAACTGGTTGAAATTTGCCTTAACTTGGATAAATTTACTGCTATTTCTATTTCCGTTAGAGTATGTAGATTTAAAGCAGTATCCTTATTGGCTCACAGGCTTAAGTTCACGTCTTAAGATTACTGTTACAAAAATTTTGTCTAAAGGCCATGGCACACATCAGAGAGAAAGCTGAGAGAGGACATTTCGGCCCAAAATCTGTAATCGCAAAATATTTGTGACTACGTTATGCCCAAGTGGCGCCGAGCGTGCCTGCTAACTAATAGTGAAGGAAGATTGACGGGAAATCACTAAGTTCACAAAGAAATGTTACTCATTGTTTCTGATTCACAAGTCATAAGGCGGTTTAATAAAAACTCAAATGAATATTTGGAATGTACAGATCGAAAGGGCAGAGACATAATTGCGTTATATATACGACAGCTTGAATATCGGTGTTGCATTACTAGGTTAGAATACGAGAAATTAAAAAGTCTACAATATAAGCGTTTATCTGACGGCGCGATTAATTACCTAACATGAGCAGTAATCGATGCCGATCTCGCAATGAACATAAAGTAATAAGTCTAAATCTTACCGAGCATTAACTTAAAATCTATCACTAGGGCTTATAAAAGATCTGCACGTAGAACGCTATGATATTAGAGAGAAGGAGAGAGAGAAAGAGAGAGAGAGAGAGAAAGAGAGAAAGGAAAATCGGAAAAAAACTGACTCGAGCGCCGCAACTAACGCTTGCAACGCCACATGCTGCCGCGCACTACTGCCCAAAAATATAAATTACATAGCTCTGACGGTAATACGTTCACTTTTCTGAGGATAATACGTCCACTTTTCAACTCCAGATGATAAATCGATACTTGGTTCATAATAATATGTATATCATATAATCATGCTACATTCACAAATTGTGCATCAGAAATATTCATCTCTGCAATCTTGCGTGTGATGTTTATTTTGTTTAAAAGTATTAACATTAAGGTTATATATTATATTTTTACAAATGTGTTAATATTTTTATATTTATACGTTTGTATTTTAAACAAGCTACATATGAATTAAGTTGTATTTCAAGCATTTTATTTTTTTAAATACATTTTTATAGTTTACTTATTTTTATATTTACTTTATTTGTTATTATTTTCTTATTACAATACTAAAATTTAAAAAGTATATAATGATAAAATTAATCTAAATTTTTTTTGTATAAGTATAATACTTTAAGTATTTAAAATGCAATTATAAGTTTCATGGCGACGCAAAAATTAAGTGTTTAATAAAATAAGGAAACAATATGTTTTATTAACAATAACATAAATTAAAAGAACAGCTGATGGGCCAAGCTGGTTATTTATATGTATATGCTTGTAATTATAAATTTTTATACACAAAAATTTAGACAATTTCATGAGTTTCAATCCGAAATATTTTACTTAAAATATTTAAATATTTTACAGAACGATATAACCATAGAATTTCTGTATCTAAAGCTGAAACGTTACACTATCGAGCGATATAAATGTCAATTAAAAAGAAAATAGAATATATATGCATTTTAACTAAAAATATAATATTACTTTCCTACTATAACTCATGAATATACGGCCCCACTCGTTCCGAGCAGGTAGAGTGGACTAAACTGAGTAGAAAAGTCCTCTACCATTTTGTAATGCTCGCAATAATTAACGAGATATTAACGTTTAAAGATAGCCGAATATGCACGTCCTCCCGACCTATTGCCGAAAGTACGGCCCACCGAGCGCACGGGTCGCGAGGAGAGGGGCTTACTGTCGCGAGCATCTAAGCTCAAACGGCGCGGCGCACCTGCTAGGCCATTCCCACTCCTCGCGGCCCGCGCGCCGTGCGCTCGGTGGACCGTACCTTCGACAATAAGTCGAGCGGACGCACGTATTCGGCTATCTTTAAACATTAATATCTCGTTAATTAATGCAAGCATTACAAAATGGTAGAAGACTTTTCTACTCAATTTAGTCCACACTATCTGCTCGGGACGAGTGGGGCCGTATATTCATGCCACCCTGTATATATGTATTTTATACATATATGAGCTAAATATAGGCTATAATTATATGTATTATATGTATATTTACATTTACACAATTTTTCTTTTGCTATAGCTAGCTGCTAAAGTCTAAATATTAGAATATTAACATTTGAGATTAATATGCGTGCGCGTTTGTGCACATATACAAGATGTCAGCACTCGTATATTGGGTCATCTAAAAAGTATCCGCGGTTTTTTGTCACTAGATGGTATTGACCATCAACACTATCTAGTGACAAAAAACTGCGGATATTTTTTAGATGACCCAATATTAAGTTCGGAAAGTTCGCTTCAAATTTTGTTAGCCTAAAATTGTATGTACAGCTTCGTTAAAAATAAACAAAATTTAAATTTAGAAAAAGGATTTTAAAGCTTGAAATTTCTACTTTCAAAGCTTACTATGTTTTATATTTTTTGAGTTTATGTGAGTTTCGTACATACAAAACTACGAGTTAAAAAAAATGAAAAAAATTTTTTCTCACTTCGTAGGTCTGTCACGTGCCCAAAATGAATCTGCGAAAATTTTTCACTATGTGTTATAAATTTTTCTCTATTGTTACGTCATTGCGCGTTTTGTAACGAATTTAGATATTTTTGCGTTATGAATTACTGTGTTAGGATGCAGCTGTTCTCGTTCTGTCCCACCGCTGTCACCTATTTGTGTTATTGTGCTACGAATTCTCTTTAGAAAATGAGCTTCAAATTCCGTCATTATCGCTAGTGGTTCATTGAGAATTTGTAATAGCAACAAAGATCAAATTAGCGTTCATTTAACAAGAAAATCGATGATGGATCCGAGCAAATCAAACTGTCTCATCATACTCTTTAAGGAGGGGATGAGGGGGAGGATTGAGCAAAACAGAATATAACGCTAGATAAGTGTTTATGTTTTTATTAAGGTATCCGATTGATATCCGTGTACACGGAAGTGTACCGATAGGTCGGAGATGACCAACGGGGGATGACACGGTAGCCTGCGAGGATTCGGGACCTGTCTAGCAATACAGGACGCGTGCTCCGTCTGCATGGAGCGGTTGCGTCAGCTCTGGCGTTCCGCTGCTTGGCGGTTAACGGCGCGATTCCCTCATAGCGCGCGGTCGCTCCCTGTTTGGGAGCTTCCGAAGTCGGCGGGGGCCGCTGGAGCGGATAAGTCCGGCGGAAAGATCGACGGATCGAAATCCCTAATAGCCTTCAGCCCTTGATAAATATGCAAGGCCTGAACTCCTTCCTGCACAATTTCCTCTTTTAATCATTCCACGAGAAGTGATTTTTTTTTATTACATTATCGTCGCAGTTAGTTGAACCGCATTTAAAAGAAGCAGAATTAGAAGTAAATGGTAAAAGAAACAGATAACAGTGAAGGAAAGAGCAACTCCTACGAGCGCGGTTAACCTGGGAGAAGGGGAAGGGCTGAGCGCGGAAAGCCCGAAAGGTATAGAAATTGAAAGAAGTTAACACATGCGTATTTTCTTCTTTTCTTTCTATCTGTTGCGAATATTGAGAGATATTTCAGTGATTGCCCAAGAATAATGAACCGAACTGAGCCGAACTGAACTCAACTGAGTTACTGGCTCGATTTTCGTCCCGGTTTAGACGCCAATATAGCGCTCGTCGGGAGAAAAGGAGAGCTCGAATTTCCCAGAATTGATAATACGTGCCAAATTCGGAAAATGATTTTTCATATAGAAATATTAGTCACATCAGGCTGAAATTTGGCACGGTTGCCACGAATTCAATTTAGAACTGACGGATCAAATTAGTTTCGCGTTAATTGATGGAATTTTGAAGTAATTAGCAAATTAAATTTTAAACCTTTCTCCGTGATTCGCGCTGCTCCTTCCCCGATTCTCGATTGGTCGGTGCTTGCTAACGCGACAAATTCGCACTTTACTTATCTGTTTCAAACTAATTAAGGCGGTCACGATGGTCAAAAGATAGTAAATCAAATAAAAAATATATTAAACATAACACTAGATTTCGAAATTAACAATATTCTCGGCCAGAGCGGCTGAAATCCTATTAAGGATTCGGAGTGACACGCGCGTCGCAGGTCGTGATTAGTGCACGATAGCCTATTCTTATTTTGAGAGATTACAGGTATTGAAATTCGATTGGATTAGTTTTACTTAAACCTCGTGTAGGACGACAATGGCATGACAGTCCCAATATATGGGAACAATTTCTTAAGTCCGCGTGGAGTTATCCTGCCTGGAATTTCATCGCAGTACATCGGCACGTGGCACACGCCTCACGAGTGCTTCGATTAGCTCACGTGACGCACGTGTCACGCAGTGTCAGCATGACAGAATACTACGCCGAATAAGTTTCTCGCTAGGAATATCCGCAATTAATTAATAGAAATACGTTAGATAGATGATGTGAGATTAAATAATAAAAAATAATTCAGCGCGAAATGAAAAGACAAAAAAAAGAATAATAAAATTATATTATTTCTATGAAAGACAGATGTAACATTATCGTGAAAATTGAAATTTTCGCTACAAAACTGTTTTTTTTTTAAATATTCCTACAATTTTTTTATTTTGAATTAAATAAAAAGAAGTAATCTGACTTTGATTGCTCATTACTCCGACAAAAATTATCGTATCACAATTTAGTCTTTAAGTCGATTTTAGTAACATTACCAATCAATAGAGCACATATAAACATATAAATTTGTTAATAATTTTTTTTGTTTTTGCATAATACTTCATATTTATAGAGTTATAGCAATTTTAAAACGCAGTCGGACGACTGATTATTTAAACGCGACGGAATTGCCCGAACTCGAAAATGACGTCATGATGTTACTGCCGAATGCTGCCGAAAGCATATAATACGTATTGTACATTCGGTTGATATTTAATATAGACCGTAATATCATAACAAGATATAAACATGAGCAAGTTGACTGGATTAAAAAGTTATCGATGCTTTTGTACCTTTGTGCAAAAACATCACGAAAAATGCATCCAGTAAAGTGTTTGTGACAGTCTCACGCGAAGAAGTAACGAGAAGATTATGGTTTCGATTGGCACGACGTCCGAATGACCAACAAAATCAAATTATTTTTGTTGCGAGAATCATTTTGTTGTAAGTATTCAATAGTAAACTAATATTATTATCTATATTTCTAATGTTTTGAGGTTATGAGAATAATATTTATTAGCGAATATTATAAAATAAAACATTCATTTTTATGACATACTGTATACAAATGAGTTTTTTCTGTTACTTCTTTTCTATTTTGTAGCTCAAAGATGACATAGATAATTACATTCGCTACTCTTTAATGAGTGGGCCCATAAAATTAAAATCTGGAGTTGTGCCACATATTTTTACTTGCCAATCCAATAGAAAACGAACTACAGATCAGTCTCTTAGCGTTGTTTCTGAGAAACGAAGACACAAAGCAGAGATTGCAGTTATTTTGGCTACAAGCTCTTTGTTACCTGATACTACAGTCAAAGAAAATATAACACCTAATATTCTTACAGTAAGTATGATCTTGAAAATAAATTAATTGAAGAACTGTAGTAATATAAATGCTAAAACTTACATAGGTTTTTATTTAAGAAACAACGTTCCAATCTACAAAGGTCGAAAATACAAACTTATTGTTAGATGACCTTTCCAATAGTTATTCCGATAGTCACACAATTTATAAAAGTATTCATCATAAAGGAACACAAGACCTACGATCTTATGTCCGCAGTAAAAGTGTATCGTAATATTAAAGTTTCTGTGCCTGACAAGTTTCTGTGTCTACAAGTTCACCAATTAAGCTTTATACTTAGAATCAGAATATTACATTTGACATCGATGAAAGTTAACACTCTGACAAAGCAATCAAACACAGATATTTTGACTACTTCGGTATCATTTTCCTTACTTCTGACAATTTCAAGCGATTATGAGCCCTATTCAGAGGAATCAAGCCAGTGTGAAAAAAATAATATAAAATTAATGCAAAATAATGTACTTTTGACACTTTTTTAATGTACTTTTTACAAATTATTTTATTACTACTAAAAGCTAATACTATCTTGGTATCGCAAATGAATGGTACTGGATTATAGATCTTTTATGTGCTCAGACTGGAATTTAAGCAGATTATATTAAATTAAGTTTGATGAAATTAAAAGTTAATGACACGTTTCATAGACTAGGAGAGCAATTTAGAATATCATACGTTCAGGCGAGCAATATATAATATTTAACTCCACTGTTCCACGCCTCGCTCATATGCTGAAAACTTTGATATATTTTTCGGATTCAATGTGAGAAAAGCTTTACCAATTCCGTTTCGAACTAATTACAGTCACGTGCAATCTATAATCGATTGTTTCGAGATAAAATTCAAAAACCAATAAATTCTGTAAATCAAGCTTTCACTTGGTTCGGAATATAAAAAATGTAACACCCTTAAATATTTAATATCTTCGACTCCGGATGGGTTTATTAATTTTGTCTCGAATGGCTACAGAGGTAGAATAACCGATATCCTGATTACTGAAAAATCTGGATTTGTAAATGTGCCAGAAGGATGCGGTGTTATGGCTGATCGGGGATTTAAACATATTCAGACTATTCTTAATCATAAAAAATGTATACTTATTCGTCTGCCTACTGTTTCTTCTAGTGTAAATCCCTCTAAAGCCGAAGTTTTAGAAACTAAATGTATTGCGAGTTTACATATAGGGTAGATAGTCCAACAATGAACGATATTTCGTAAATGCGACGTTATCAGATTGTGCTGCTATCATGTAGCGACTCGCATTTGAACCCCTCCTCGGCTTCCTAGTCGACTGGCAGATCGCGCCAAGAACAGCTATGTAGTCACATTTTAAGAATTTTGGGTTGCAAAGTAAGTTTTTTTCGTAAATTTTATGCATTTTTTATTATTACACCTATAATTTTTGTGCAATAGTTTTATGTGCACATTTGGCTTTATTATTCTGTAAGCAACTTTTTCTGTTATATTATTTTACTACATTATTTAGAAGATTATCGGAAAAGGTTAGGTCTACAATGAATCCTTTTGACGAAGTGAATAATGAACCGTGGTATATTGTAGACCACACATAACTTTTTTACGATAACCTTCAAAATAATAATTATTTAGAATATTCCTCCCTTCACCTAAAATCTCAATAAAAATCATTTGATGCGTTTTCACACAAAACGAAAGATAAACGTGATGATCTTGTGAATCCTTATCACCTTATAATTATCTATTTTTAAAATAAACATTTTAAAATATAGTAAAACTAAAATAATCCTAACAATTCGCAGTATAAAACGTGTGATTCATTGTTAAAAATAACATGGTTTATTGTGTAACACCCCTTATACACAATGAACCATTTCCCGTTTTTTAAAACAATCGAAATTGTGACTAAACTTCAGGGATAACTTAAAATTTATTATTTACAGTATGTAATAAATTAAATTCATAAACTGTATGCAAAAATTCAGATCTTCAATTCAATAATTGAGAGATAATAAAAAGAGATATACCTCTGAAATTTACATGGTTTATTGTTGGACCACTTACTTTACATATTGAGCGTGTAATTAGACGAGGGAATACGAAATGTTAAAATCGCACGTATGTATTCATCATAATTTGCTGCCTCATATGGATTTTCGTTAGTAATAATTGCATCAGCGTTAATTAATTTGCAGACACCAATAATAAAAAATTAGCCCTAGTAAAGAATAAAGGATGTAAGTTAAAAAATACAACAACTGTTAAATCCTTTTTGTATATATTTCTTTATTTTATGATTATATAGTCCTATGCTCTTTGATTTTTTAGATAATGTTTAGATAATTATTATAGGAAAAATATAATCTTTCCAAAAAGCAACAGCGTATTCTATTATTGATTTCGTGAAATGTTCATCTTGCTAAACAATGGTTACCTGTCTTGAATCCTCAAATTTTGGATCAGTGATGCAAAAAAGACCTTTTTTTACCAGTAGCGAACATTTGCATATTCATTTGCGCTTTTCATTGATTTTTCCATTTGGCAAAAAATTATCAAATGTTTTTGAACTTGATGGACACTTGACTTCGACAATAAAATCATCGCATATCGCATCAGGCAATGCTCCTAATATTAGAAATGAAGATAGCAAAACCAGACTACAATCTTTGAATGACAGCTACGTAATTTTTCCGACCTCAATCAAAACTTCTTTCTCCAATTTTTTTCCTCGCTGTATTGCTTGTGACTCAAATATTTTTGATGCTCCAATAATTTGTTGTACGAATGTTCCATTGAATGTTTTGCAGTGTGCTGCTTCGTATAATCTCGATGCTGTTACTCTATTGTATCAGAGTTCATGCCAAATTAAAGTATCACTTTGGAATCTGGTTAATTTTTCTGTCATATGCCAGAAAAATTAAATCCTTTAACATCTCTTTACTGGCATATTCCAAAAAATCATCCACAAAGGAACCTCCTTTTTCGCAAAAATTTGATAATAATTGGTGTATTAACAGAGATTTGTATATTTCGCTTTCTAATATAAAATTGTGCTTAGAGAGTTGATTGTTTCTCTTTTGCTTTATCGACTACAGCTTTTAAAAACGACGAATTGTTTGGTAAATGTACATCCACAACATTAATTTTTCCCAATTCCTTTAATTCAATGTATTTTTTTGCTGTGTCAACGGAAGCCAAAGAAGAGCGACGCCAATAACATTCTACTTCTGTGAACGGAAGGATTCTCTGACTTCCTATGAATCCACATTAAAAAGGCAATCGCATGTTTGCAGCCTCCTATTACATTTTTTGTTTTCAGAAAAATTAAAATAACTATATTTTCAAAAATTATTGTTAAAAGAAGTTAGTTTCAGACAGTCACAATAGTAATTCAACTTTATAATTTATACATTTACCGTTTGATACACAATTGTCATATTGGACATCAATCACCTTTTCATCTTTTTCATCAATGGTCATTGTAACCGAGTATCCTTTATTACGAATACGATGTTCTGGACATACCTTGCATTGTACATGTATAATACATGTTCCCAAAGATTCTTTTCTTTTGAGACATACATAATCTATTGCCTGATCACCATATGATTCTCGTAATGACCTATAAAAATTGTTTATCATTATTTTAATGTATTATTTTGATTTATTATTTCTAATTGGTATGGAAAACACCGGGCACATAAATAAACTTACATTGCGGCTTTTGCATTTCTAACCTCAGCAGCATTGAACTTGTCACTTTGTTTTATAAATTCAGTCACCATAAATATGTCAACCTTAGGCAAATTTATTGAATCCGCTTTAATAAAACCTAATTCTAGAATATTTATCACATTTGACACGATATTTTTTCGATAATTCGACGAAACACTTTACGAAACTTATTATGCAGCCGCAGGCACGAAGACAAGAAGTAACATCGTAACGTCACACCAATAGCGTTGCGTTTTCATCCGTTTGAATTTTCATGAACATTTGATCTTCATTATTAAACAAATATAAACAAATTTAACGATTTTATTTTTATGAATCAGTTTCATAATGCTTATATTTTGATAAATTAACCGAATTTATAAATTAAAAAATTTTTTTAAAGACCGAATTAAAAAACCAGATCTAAAGCTGAAATGTTGCTCTATCAAGTGATATAAATGTCAATTTAAAAAAAAAGACTATGTATTGAGCTAAAAATAATATAATATTACTTTCCTTCTATAAATATTGCGCAATGATTACAATGAAAGTATATCATATTTATAACTCAAATTTATACAATTATTAAATTTTTTATTTCGAATAAACATGTAAAATTGACAAGAAAATTGATTGGTTAAGGCTCCTGACTAGTCGCGACGGCCATGTTGGAATCGTGACGTCAGAAGCGAGGAATGACACGTTAATTTATGTTGTGTGCCATTTTTAAATAAAGATAATTTGAATGAAACGAAATGACGAGATCACTTTAAAATACTTGTAAAAATCGATGAAAACTGTCCTTTGATAGACAGTAAATGATCGTAAAAGGCACGTGAGCTTATATTCAGGCAGAAACACACGGTCCGACAGCTATTGAAACGAGTAAAATATACGCATTTACCTATAAAATTTCAAGATAACTTTAGATTTCATCGATAATTACGACTTTGATAAGTACGAGATAAGTCACATTTTCACGATTAGGCAAATAATAACGACATGACATAACATAAATTTCGTCATCAAAACGTGACTTTTCGATGCCTATAAATTCGGCCATTTATCATGGTGCGTTATAACACAAACAAGCACAAGCCCATGTCTCGCCTACGGCGCGCCGAGAGTGAACGGGCAGCGAGCTCCTCCCACTAGTAGCTTGTTTCAAGCGACCGAAAATGCTTTCGGCAATCTCGGCCGCTCCGCGGCCCTAGGGCGGGGAGCATCCTAAATAACATATAAGTTTTAATAAATTGTAGTAATAGTGTATCCCTCCCTTTAATTCAGAATAGTATAAATTATGTTAAAACGCAACAATTTATCATATTATAATAATACATTAAATTGTTTACGATTTTTCATGCGTGTTATATAATATACCTCTTCTTCATAAACTCGAGTAGCAAGAATAGTCCAGTAGAAGTGGAATTTTACCGGAAAAAAATTATAAACCAGCATTTCTTTTCAAAAAAGAAAGTCTCGAAAGACCATCAGAAAAGAAATGCATATGTTCGAGACTCGAGACTTGTGAAGAAAATATGTGAAAAAAAATCGAATAGTTGCAAAAAGCATGCTTTTCGCTTAAAACGAAAAATATTGATTGTATGGAAAAAAAATTCGATATAAAAAATGTAGGTATTCGAAATACCTATAAAATGAGATGTGAAACATTAAGATCGATCTATTAATTCAGTAGAAAAAAAATTTTTAAAACACCGTAAAAGACCTTTTTTCACTCGCTCTCTGTTCATTGAGATTTAAACGCAAAGCTTTGAAATTCTCGTAATATGTAGCCCTCGTAATGACGAACAAATCTAGCCTTGAACAAGCCTGTTCATTAATTTTTGCAAAAAGCTATTTGTTCACTAAAAACCTGTCTCCGGGAAACTTAATTTCTTCATCTTTGAGCAGTCGCACAACAATTTATAGGAATTTTGCTTCCTGAAGAGTTGCACTATCACGTACACTTAATAACAAATCGATTTTTTTGCAGTTAAACTATTATAAAACGACTTTAAAAAGTGGGTATCGTTTTCGTGTAAAAAAATGGAAATAATTTGTTAATATGCATCATATCAAATAGCCGTGTGAAGTATTCGAAATCTGACATCTTTCTACGAATTTAAAAAAAAAGATTACCCTCCGATTATTAGGACGCGAGATAACAATTTTTTTTCAAAAAATCACTGTGCTCTAATTTTTAAGATTAATAGTTCCGTCTGGCACCAATTTGTCAAGGAAGAATCGAATTTGTTGTTAAAAAAATCTCAAATTGTAACCATGAAATTTTTAGTTTAGGAAATTTTTTCTTTCTTGAATTTTTATTTTTTCGGTTTATTACTAAAAAATTACGTTTAAGTATGGAGTGCATGTCTGATGAATAAATTTAAGTCAAAACTTATGAAAAGAGGAGCATAAAACCTCAGCACAAGATATTGTTTGTGATATTTAATTATCATTACATTAATAAAACATTAATTAAACGTTTCGGCCACAATCTGGCCATCTTCAATAAATTCACAAATAATTTTAAAACGCAGAATTACATATATCTGACATTAAATTCAGCCATCGTGTAACATAACTACGTATAAATATGTTCTTTCATCTTGTGAAGGTGCATTGTTCAACAATGTTGCAGCGCCAATTGTTATATTGCGAATTATGTAGAACAAGAATTTCTAGATTCTAATTTAAAAAAATTAACTTATCATTAATATCTTCTAGTCGAATTGTATGAAAATTGAATCGTTACCTGTTTTAAAAAAAATGATGAATCTTAAGCACGGAAATTCGTCGTGACATTGTGTATTATCATTTGTCATATCATATATGTTACCACTATTTATATATATGTGTCAAAAGTTTAGATTGTCCTAGAATTATTTATTAAGTGTGAGATCTTTCTTTAGAAAAAGCAGATAAACATTAGGCAAACTGTCAGTGTCACTTTGCTTATTGATATTACTTATTTGACTTTTTATGTATATCATTTCAGAAATTCTTTTTAATAATGATTGTTCTGTATCTATGAAATTCTGATATTATCCCAATTCGTGCATCTCATTCAACTGGTGAAACAACTGACATCTCCGAGGTGGATCTTCTTATGTCAACCTTATGTTGTTTTATTCGAGTTTTTAATTTCTTTTTTGTTTGGTCAACATAAGAAGACTCACAATGTAAACAATTTATTTAAATCACTCCACATGGTCCTCTTTACGCAAAGGATCTTTTCCAGTTTTAATAAATCTATTCATTTTATTTATAGGTTTGTAAGCGATATTAAAGCCCTGAATATGTAATAGTTTTTTAAATGTTTCCGATACTTTACTTAAATATGATATTATATAAAATCCGGTATTGTATAAAATCTAGAGATTATCTGCATTATGAAGATTATAATAATTTTTCAATGTTTACGGTATTAACGTAATCTTCGGTCTTTGTTCAGCGTTACAGTTTTCAGGATTTTATTTTGTGGTTCAAAAACTTTTTCTTTAAATTAAAATTAGAGTCGCTTTCATTATTGTTGTACTCACTATTTTTATCTAAATTCGTTCTATTTTCTAAAGTTTTAATTCTGTTTTTTATTGTTGAAAAAATGAATTCAAGAGGATAACCATTCATTAACAGAGTGTGAACTAAGGCAAAGATGTTTTTTTCTTGAAATTTTGGGATAAAAACAATATTCTATCTAATTGCCCGATGATTACACCCCTTTTATGTACTAACGGATGATTCGAAAAATAATTTAAATATCTCCCTGAATTAGTAGGTTTTTTATAAATATCGAAGATGATTCTTCCATCTTGTCTCATTAGTTTAACATTTAAAAAATTAATGCCGTTTTCATCGCCAAAGTCAACTGTAAATCTTAGCTTTTCATGATATAAATTAAACAATTCCAGAACATTCTCTACTTTGTCTTTATGCACGGACAATACAATGTCATCAACATAACGGAAATAAAAAGACGAGATAATATTATTAGTCGTAATAATTTCTTGTTCTAAGTTTTGTAGAACATATATTCTGCAAAATATAGGAGACAATGGAGAGCCCATTGGCACGCCAAAAATCTGTCTAAATATTTTTTTGTCAAATTTAAAAAATGTAGAGTTAATTATAATCATAATTGCTTTAATTCTCATGGAAAGAAATCGAAGTCTTGTTTTCAATCAAATTCCACCTACGTTCAATACTCTTTAATACTAAATCGGTCGGAATGTTCGTGTACATCGAGAGCACGTCGAATGATATAATACTGAAATTCTTATCAATTACTTTTTATCGATCTTCCATTGAGTTTATATTCACAATATCAAAATTGTTTTTTACATAACTGAAATTCTTTTTGTTATTATTGTTTATAATATCTTTTAAGAAGGTCGCCAATGGATAAAAATTGCATCTGAATCGTGTCTGAAGGAAAGTCTAATCCCTAATCATATGTTTAAATTTATACGAAATGAAAATAATAATTTGTTTCACTCTTCAAAAGAAAGAATTGACTTAAACGCAATTTTATATTCAAATATCTACGGGTAGAATTACAAGATGCATATAAACATCTTGAACACATAAAATTTGAAATGTTCAGCATGTATAGACAGATAGAGAAAACTTTAAACCATTTAACATATTCAATTCTTTCTTTCGTAGACAAGAAATCCATTTTAATAGAATTTGACGAAAGGAAAAAGAAAGGATTAATAATAAAATAAAAAACCTGCGAGCTAGTCATAGATTTAGAGAAAGAATGAAAATTAAAAATAGGAACTATAACATAATGCATTCGTTAAACTCTGAGATGAATCGCGATACCCTAATTGCACCGTTGAAGTTAAAGAAAATTTCAACCAAAGATATTACGGCCAATGAACGACAAACAACGTACAATACTAATATTCGTCCAAACAGATTTAAAACAAATTTTGCAATAATGAGTATAAACGAACAATGGCTAATAAATCTCAGTGATACTGAGATTCCAGAAAAAGCCAAAGTCGTATTGCAATTAGGTCAGCAATTTAATTTACCTAATCATCAGCAAAGAAAGAAGTATGCTCGAGTTTATTAAACATGTAGAGTGTAACCTTTTCAGAACTGATGACGAAATTTGTAAAACGGTTAGGAACGAAGTAATTCAAATATTTAAATCAATAGATAATTGCGACATTAAATCGTTTGAGAATAATATC